GATATAGATATAGATATAGATATAGATATAGATATAGATATAGATATAGATACTGGATAGAGAATGTCAATCAGTCTGTAAATTAAACAAATTTTGGCAAAACTTTCGCAAGTTTAATTAAATGCATCTTTTCGCTCAGTGCCTGACTCATTTAGCATGTAAACTGTACGCCGTGCCGCTGATAAAATTAAAAACCATTTTGGAGCCACAACAAAAAGCCGAAGAAGAAGAGCAAGAAGAAGGCACACGACAAACTACAGGACAGAAACTGCGCACATGGAAGCCAACTAGATATGCTAACTAGTGTGTACAACTTTTTTCGGGGGCTGGATCTAGTATTTGTTATGCATATGTGTGTGTGTGTGTGTGGGTGGGTGAAGGCAGCTGACAGCTGGCAGCAGACAGCACCTATGCAAGGGCAGAGGGGAAAAGGATTGCCGGGATGGTCATAAAAATTTCATTGGACATTTTTAGTGAAGCTGCTGGCCGTGTGCCGTGGCTGGTAACAGTTGGTTAATGACAGTTAAAAGCCATCTGGCTAAAAGTTTTTTGCATATTAAAAACATATTTTGGCAAAGCTGAACGCTAAGCAAATTAGTGGCCGCTGGGCGAAGTAGGGAAGCGATTTGGGCATGACTGAGCCAAAATCAATCACAGCCAATTAGGCTAAGGCGCTTTTTACGATAGGAACCAGAGACCGGGTCGGGGCGGGGTGGATCGTCTGATAGTTTTAAGTCCAGCTGATGATGTCCTGCTGCTGTTTCTGCTGCTGTTCCTGACAGTCGAAAGGAAACAGCAGCCGATAGAGACTGGCCATTAAATCTAATCGCATTAAATGCACAGCTCTATCAAAGCCCACAGCAACCACCGCACACCACAAACAGCGAACACCAAAAAAAAAGGAGACAACTCCAGCAGAAACAATGACAACAACAACAGGAACAACAATCCGCTGACAGTTAACGCAAATTTATCGATTGACGATTAAAAGGACGTTGCCAGGCGACCGTCGCATACCGAATGGGCTCCTAGGGTGCCTCATCTACGAGTAGCAGCGAAAATCACAGGAAATTAATTACAATTACGCTAGACGCTAGACGATAAACGCTTCGTGCACCCCTTACTCCAAGCAGGCGCAGCGAGAGGGAGGCGCGCTGGACAAGAATCCGCGACATATGGTGGCTTACTGCCTCAGTGGTTATCGGGACATTTGCCCAGTTTTTATTCGACACATTTTTAGCATTTTAAGTGCGCGAATCAATTGTGTTTGCTTATCAAAGGCGTCTGTCCCCAGCAAATGTCAAATCACCAACTGCATAATCCCCTGGAACAATCATAATAAAATTGTGCTATTGTGGGTTATGGTCCGCCGCGAGGGTGGGTTGGTTACTTCTGCTGCTGAATGGAAACAAATCGATTGGAAAATCACAATAAAAATGGAAAGTGCTTTGTGTGCTCTCTGTGTAGGAGCTTGCCATGAAAATCAAAGATAATCAGTGTATTGTATTGGCCCAAGTATGAAAATTTGCAGATTAAGTGTAGAATTAGTTTGACAGCACCGTTTTCGAGTTTAAGCGTTTATGAAGTGGCCGAGGTACGACTTTATCTATATACATACTTTCTACACCTGATGAATACATTACATTTTTATATTATGATATCATAATTGGGGAATAATTAAATTACAGTTTGGAATATAATAGATAGCTGAAGCTTTTGTTGTTCAATATTCTTCCATCTATCGCCACAGAAAAATGTTTATCAAAAAGAAATCCTCTCAGGAGTCAGATCTTAGAGCACCTGCACTTACTCGTGAGTCACGAAACAACCCTGATGCATGTGCGTGATGGACAATAAAGAATATGTAAGGCAAGCTCACTCCAAAACTCCATTGCGTGCTTCACGAATGTATATTAATATGTAAATCCTATTTAAACTAAATGCAGACTGCAATGCGTGATTCACTTCAGAAGTTTGGCCACACACATATATACAGACGAGCATATGACTAATGTGAGAGCAACCCTGGCACCCACTACCAACGGAATAACACAGATTATAATATTTGAACAGGTGAGTGGAATGGCCTGAAAGCTTTATATGTTGATGCCAAGCTTAAATATCCCAAGGATATTTCTGGTTTACTCTTATGAACTGGCCACATCAAAGTGTATCGCATTTGGAACCGCAAGCCAATTTAAATACTCATATGCTCTATGCATATGAGGACCGCTCAATACCCTGTAAGCAGAGAATATGACTATGACGAAAAGGCAGATAAAGTTAAGTAAGGGAGACTTTACTTTAGACTGGATATCATTAAAATTTAAAGAAACTTTGTTGGCAAACCTCAAAGTAATATTTTGTTTATAATTATCTAACACAAACATTAGTACAGGGTATCGCCCAAGTCAACTAATGCCAGCCAATATTCTTTCATTTCGTTGTTTATTCGAATGTTCGTTTATGCTGTCAGTTTTAATGTATTTAATATTTGCTTAAGTCTGCCCCATTCTGAACGGTCGTGCCCACTTTTTTGGGGCTTTATGAACAACAAATTGCCCAAAGACCAAAGACCAGAGATCAGACAAGAGCCCCGAGACACCGAGCCTGGCAAGGAGTTCCACTAAAATGGCCTAAAGCGTGTGCGCTATATGCCTTTGATGCGCACGCTTGAGTCGATGTGAGTGTGAGTGTGTGTGTGTGTGAGTGTGAGGGGTTGAGAGGAGCTGGGGTTGCGTCCTTGTGCTCACATCCTCGTGCTCAGACATGCTTTTAATTTTGCGCATTAAGCGTAGTTAATCCTTAAACGCCCCTGAAACGCTGCTGCATATGTAAATGGACGCGTTGAGGTTAAGGATTCGCGGTAAGGGGTGAGGGGTGAGGAGTCATTCGTGCTGCCTCTACTAAGGGTTGTCATTAACAGAACTCGTCGCGCAACAGCTCACTTAATGTCATGTTGTTGCATCCAATGATTGTCTCTCGACTTTAATTTAAATACATTTTTATATGGCTATGACCGCTTAGTAGCCAGCCCAGCCCCTTCCCCGGTAATTGCAGGGTATTCAGCGAAATGCGACGTGACATGAAAATTGCATTTGGCTGTATCTACACATCCTCATCGTGCCCTCCGCTCTGGTTCACTCCTTCCTGTAGTGCTCTCTGGCTGGCGTTTTTAGGGTGACCATATGCTTGGGTATTCTTTCAGCTCCGGTTTTTTTTTTCTGTGGCATTTACCGCCCTCTTTTTGCCTGGCTTCTTTTGTCTATTTATGCATTTCACCGCGAAATAGGATTAAACGCTTATGTAAAGGACCCAATCAAAGTTGCCCAGTCGCGCACACCTTGCGTGACGTCTATATATATACGAATGTACATACATATATATCGCACTGTGGCACATATGCCCCGGTTCCCGTAGTGCTGGCCCAGCCCGCAAATCCGCTTTTCAAATCCTATCAGCCCCTCCCCTCCCCTCTTGGCAGCGCGTCGAAAACTTTGTCGCATTCTGGAGAGCAAAAAAAATCCCATTTTCAATTTGGCAATTCCTTGCGCAAGTAGTTTTATTTTCTTGGTAGAGGGATAGGGGGCCGTGGAGAGAAGCGTTGCATACTTGTTGGCATCTCATCGAGCCACAGAGCCGGGCGACCCTCGCATAGAACTTGACCATTTTTACGCCTTATAATTTCTGATGTCTTTAATTTGTCTTGCCTGGAGGCAAATATTCTGCTCGAGCAGCGCCTAAGCCGCAGCAATTTTTATTATCACAGCAACACAATAAAAACAAGCAAAAGAAAAGAAACAAGGAAATATTTAGAAACGTGGCCAACAAGTTGTAGTACAAATTTTGTGGTCCATTTTACACAAATGAAAAGTGAAGCACACGAAATTTATGTAACGTAAAAGATTTTTGATGATGTCCTTAAATCAAAATTTAAATAAATTTTCTAAAATAAAACAGTGGGCGCGCCATGTGGGGGCGTGGACATGGACAGCACTTGGCTGTTGCCCCAAGTTTTTATTTCTCTTTTATATTACTTTTGCCTACACATATTTCGTATTTATTTTACTTTTTGCTTCCCTTTTCCTCAGTCGGATTTTTTTTTCTTCTTTTTTATTTGCTCAC